TCTAGTAGTAATCTTTTTAGCTTTTTAATTACTTGTAAATTACATTCGTTATATCCGAAGAACTTTTATCTAATTGTAAGCATAATTGGTATTACTCTTTTACTAACAAACTTGTACCAAAAATGGTTATGTCACATGAATATTTATCGAATTATTTCAATAAAATAAAAGTGATATTCCATAAGTGATTTCCTTCTCTTTTTCTGCAAAAATTCAATACTTAATTTTATTGGCCAATTTTATATTGAGAAGTATTAATGAACTATTTACTTTCAATATTGAAAGCACTGAATAACAGAAACACTCGAAGTAAAATATTTAAAATAAATATGTTAAATACTATCTTCCAGTATTATAAATTTCTATAGTAAAGAATAATAATACTGCAGAGTAATTAAAGATATTCGTGTTTAACAGATATATTCTCTGTTGAAAATAAGAATAATCTCTTTTTTTTATTAATTTGTCCTTTTTTGGATTTCTAATTTCTGGTTTCTGAATGCAGGGCGATCACGTACCGGAACACGTGGGACCACCAGTGGCTTGCTGTTGCGTCAAGCTCGTTGATGTTCCGGAGATGGAGTACTTCGCGACGAACAATCAGGGTGAGGTGTGCGTCAAGGGTACTAACGTCTTCATGGGATATTACAAGGATCCGGAAAAAACTGCTGAGGTTATCGATGAACAGGGATGGCATCACACAGGAGACATCGGCATGTGGCAGCCTGTAATTACATTTATTCCATTCCGTAGCGATATATCTTAGCAATCTCTCATTAACAATATATCTTTAAATCTTTATTAATAATACACATGATAGAGGACTGTTCGACTTAATTTTTTTATTAGAAATAGCACTGATTAGTGAGCGTTATTTCATATACATCCTGTATGTATATTTTAGAAACGAAATCAGAGATAGTTGAAATTGTTTTTTTTTTAATAATAATTAAGATAAGATAGTGGAAAAATTAATAAATGAATAATAGATAATAGATAAATTATAAAAGATAATTAAGCTTATAAGTTAAAGTATAAGTTAAGCTTATAAATTAAAATAAATATTTTTTATATTTATTGAATTGCTTTCAGAATGGAACATTAAAGATAATCGATCGAAAGAAGCATATCTTTAAGCTATCGCAAGGGGAATATATCGTGCCGGAAAAGATTGAAAACATTTACATACGCAGCCAATATGTACAACAAGTATTCGTCCACGGAGAATCATTGAAATCTTGTATCATAGCAATAGTAGTACCAGACGTAGATGTAATTAAATGTTGGGCAGTAGAGAATGGCATACCTGGTACACTGAGCGTTCTGTGCGTCAATCCAGAAGTAAAAAAACTAATCCTCGATGACATGTTAGCATGGGGAAAAGAAGCTGGTCTGAAATCCTTTGAACAAGTATATTATCGTTCCTTATTTTCTTTTTCTATCTTTTTTTTCTTTTATTCAAAAAATTCAGACGTTCAAATTCCATTTGATCTCATCTGTATTCTTGGCTATAAATATAAAGCACTTTCACAAATTGATGTAAATGTCTTACATCTAACGAAAAATAAATTTAAAAACTGTTATATCGAAAAGTATTATTTTAAAAATAATATTTATTTTTATAACAATTTTAATATTTTATTAATTTTCTTTTGATTTTTATTATTGCCTTTTCCATACAAGAAATTGAGAGTATTTTATACTTATGGCCAAGATTGATTGTAATTGAGTTTTGTGGTAGATGTAAATGCAAAAATTTTAAGTGTAAAACCTGAAAGAGTCTGATAATTTGAAAATCCTGATTATTTGCTTCGCAGGTAAAGGATATTTATCTCCATCCAGATCCGTTCTCGGTACAAAATGGGCTTTTAACACCAACGTTGAAATCGAAACGGCCTCAATTGAAAGCGTACTTTAAACCACAGATAGAGGATCTCTATCAACAATTGGACTGACCAGACTGAGCGATTGTGCTATCGCTTGTCTGCACCAGCACTGAACGCAAAAGAAAGACGTTCGATGGTAGAAATGGAAGCAAAGCGCCTTTCCTCGCCGCTGTTCTCTCACCGGTCACTATTGTCATCGAATATTTGCGCGTTAATCCTCGAGATACTTTTATTATATTATCATTTTCACGGGTACATTAGGGACGCAGATGAAAAAAAAAGCACCATTTAAGCTAATTAAGGTAAATGATAACATAACAAGTAATAAAAGAAGTTATTATTAGGCGCGTTTAGTTTCTCTTTCTCTCAATTACAAGCATCCTTGGATATTTTCGATAATGGATGTATTTACAATTCAATCCTTATCCACGCATACTTCAATAATGTACACAGTGACTGTTATTTTCGTGTAAGAGGCGAATTATAGAATGCATTTTTAATGGTAGAGTCACAGTGAACTCACCCGATTATGGCTCAGGTCAAAATTACAACAATTAGTACGTAGTTGTTAACTTGAACAGATAATATTTCCTCAAATATTACCCTGAAGAGGTAATATTTCGATGCGTGTGCCCAATAATCGACACGCAACGTCGAAAATTTTGAATATTACTTAATAAATACATTTCTTGTTGAATATATTTTGTGGTTCGGAATATCTTTAGAAATTTGAACCGTTGATCAAGATTCTCGGATAACAAATTCAAATGGTTTTACGATCCTTTCCAAAATACTTGAAAATATTGTATTTGTGATAATCATTTATGATTATAATTTTAGTTCAATATGATTTTAGTTAATTAACTTCGACGCGCAAAGTTAACTTGGAGGAGAATCGTAAAATCGTTTTATAATTTACCTTACAGGGATGGGTCAATATTTTTTTATACAAGACTTTATATAATAATTAAACGGGGTCTTTTGTTCTTGTTTGATGACATTTTGCCAGTTTTGCTTAAGGTACTGACTTTAATAAGATAAGAGATCATAATTCAGTCGTCTGATGCTTGTCAGATTAATAAAAGAATAAATGTGTAGTAAAGACTGATGTCTTCTAAGGCAAAATGTGACAAACAAGTACAAGAAAGTTGGATAGACGATATAATACAGGATTACCTCACAATTTGATAGAAATAACATTTTAAAGAGTCTCTGATAATAAATACAACTTCCAAACCACATCTGGTGGATCTGGCCGAAGAAAAAAATGTTTGTTCTCTTTAACTCTTAAAACTATAGTATATCACAATGCACGCAACGATTATAAGCACTAATGCTACTCCTGCCAAAATAATTCTCTGTTGAAGGCTCCGAAAGATCATTCCTGATAATAATCGAGACCCTCGCCCCAACTCTGCATCTGTTTCGCGTAACTGAAACAAAAAACATTATGATTTTGTGTTTTTTTCTCTTTAAATATAATTCACGTAAAAACTATGAGTTATAGCACACAAGAAAACTTAAGCAATAAGAATAGTAAAGCCAATGCACACAAAAAACGTGAAGTATTAAGACATAAGCGAATTGACTAATCACAATAGAGAACGTAAAGAATTGATCAATCACAGTCAAATATTCTCATTCGTTTGTGATTGATTAATTCTTACAATTACAACCACTTTACAACTATGAGCTTAAGACAATAACCTTACATTCTCTATTGTTGATTGGTTGATTTATTGCTTACGTTTTAAGCTCATTCTATAATTATGTAAACATAGTTATAAACCTTATATATACAATTATATATATAATTGCGTAAGCGTAATTGTAAGTGGTTATAGTTGTAAGAATTGACCAATCACAATCGAATATTTTTCTCGTATTGTGATTGATCAATTCTTACAACTACAACCATTTACAACTACGCTTACGCAATTGTAGAATGGGCTTAAGCAAGGCTAAGTCCATAACTTTGCTTTAAGAGGCTGTAAGCTGTAAGCTGTAAGTTGTAAGTGACGATATATCGGCAATAAAACTTATGCTTTTAGATAAAAATTGGGTTTTGCTCAATTCGCTTAAATCTAATGGTTAAGGCTTAAAAAGTTTAACTGCGCAGTCTAACTGCACAAAAACAGTTCGAAGACAAAAATTATTATCATTTAATCTCTTTTGACTTATGACTTAAGGCCTTTTAAAACAAGAATATGGACCGAGACTGTAGTTGTAATTGATCAATCATAGTTGAATATTCTCCTCTTGTTCAACTATGATTAGTTAATTCTTACAACTATGTTTACGCAATTGTAGAATAGGCTTTATTATTTTACGTTTTTGCTTGTATCACAGGCTTTATTGCTTACGTTATTGCCTTATATTCTCTATTGTGATTGGCATATTCACTTGTTGTTTATGTTTTACCGCTTACGCTTTTCTGAATGCCATGAACTTTAATCTCTTACGTAAATCTCTGACTTTAATCTCTTATGTAAAGAACTTACTCTTCCTCTGCTCCGTTGTATTGTCTCTCGCTGTTCGTGAAGCTCCTTCAACACTTGAGAACCGATCTCCTCAGTCTCCAATGCCATACGATAACCATTCTGTAACGTTCGCCCTGATCGTTCTATTCTTTCAGAGGCATCCAATAGTCTTTTCCTTTGATCTTCTGTTACATTATTGTCCCAAGACTCTTCTACTGTGATTTCTGTAACATCCTCCTTTGGTTTCTTTGCTATTTGAAATTCTTGCGTCAAGCGTTTCAATTCCGCTCTGTGACTCTCTACGCGACCACGTAGACGGTCGCGTGCTGTTCCGTTCATCCCACGAACCTCCAATTCCATTTGCTCCAGCTGCAAATTATAAATAATTTTTTTATTTGAGACAAATATTTTATAAGGGAGCATCCCAAATAAAGGCGAACGAAATAAAACATATCTCATAGACACAATTGTTCCTAATTCTGTCAGTCTTTTATTAGTTAAAATGTATAAATTCTAAATGTTATTTTAAACTGATTGCTCTTTAATTAAAATCAATCCTCAATTTATTTTTATAATATTTTTATAATATTTACTTTGAATATTTTTGGAAACAGATATAAATCAATTTAATCTTGTAAAAATCCATTTAAAATTAAACAAAAAGTGAACTTTTATCTCTGAAATTGGAAGTTTTAAAATGTTTAGTGGATCGATTAAAAAAACAACTGCCTTATTTTAAGAAAAAATGGATTATAAATCGATTAAATTCACATATAAAAATAAATAATAAATATAAAGTAATAAGAGTCCAAAATAATAAGATTTTTACAGAAAAAATCTTTTTAAATGATTTGTGGTCTCAAATTTAATTTTATTCATGTTGTCATTTCTATCAATTAAAAATTAATTTTAATTTTGGTTTCACTTATTTTTTATCATCTAAGAATTAAAAAAAAATATAGAGTAAATTAAACCAAGATTAAAGTTAATTTACATTGATAGAAATTGGACTTAAATGTATCACTCTATTAAACAAACTAAGCCATAAAACTTCTGAAGCTGATGCCAAAATTTTTAACACAGTTACTGACGTTGAGTCTGTAAAATTCATTTAATTTATTAAAAGATCAAGCTTAAAGATCAAAAAGGCATTAATTAATTTCAAAAAATCAAAATGACTCATAAAAAAGAATGAATAACAAGTATATTTTAATAAATATACTAAATATATATTTCAATAAATATAATTTAAATATAATTTAAATTTAATATAATATAAAGAAAATTGACTATTTTTGACAAAGAAATATTGAATAGTCAATATTTCTTTCAATCAATCAGTCCAATAGATTAGTTAGTTCTAGAGAATTATTAATCAACATTCAATTAGATCTAATATTGAGGGGTTTATATACATTATCTCTTTGAAGCTATAGGAGCATATTTTACAAGTATATAGATAAGATGTTGTATGAAGTTTGGCTAGATGTGCTTTATTACAAAGTTATAAATATCAAATGAATCAACATGAAATAAAAAACAATGGATTTTTTATTGTACAGAATACGAAAGTGTATATTTTTTGTTGGAAAGATCAAACGTGTTTACCTCATGTATATTCACATCATATTTAATATCTCTAAATAATTCAGTATCATTTTGATCTAAATCAAGGTATGAATATGATATTCAACATAACAATTCCACTGGTATCATAAAATAGTAACAGCAATCAAAATGCCAATATTTGTTTGCAATGAAGTCCAGCCAAACTTTAAAGACCATTTTTTTCTTATTTCCACTTATAGAATATATTCCTGCAATTTGTCCGTTAAATTATGAAACAGCTTGTATATTCCGTAAAGTATCTCGATCTTTCACAAGTACTATGAACTGCGCGAATAATTTTTCTAACCCTATGTTACACGACCGATTGGCAGTTGGTGAATCGAGATCTAGCGTCACACACAATCAGTCCATCATTTTAATTGAGAGAAGGGAGAGGGAATGCAAATTAAATTACCAGCTCCTGTGCCTCCTCGATTTGCCGGTCCACATCCTGGACGAAGGCTTTTTTCTCACCTACAAATTACGTCACACATATCGATTATTGCCCTTTAACATTGACTTTGCGCGACAGTTACGTGTCAGTTGGATTATCATACGACACACGCGACGCCTCTTTGATCGTCGCCTCGACGATGTTTCTTACCGCCACTCTGGACTCTAATCCGGCCAATTTTCGCAGTGATGTCAGCTGTCAGAACGGCGTACTGCTGCTCGTAGTTATCAACGAGCGACGCCATCTTGGACACATGGATATGCCATCGACTACTGACTCAAGCCAGATGGCAATTTCGATCATTATTCCGACTGATGTGAACAGGCACAATCAAAGTCACTAGATTATAAAGTATCGCAATTGATTTCAGAAATGCCGCGTAAAAATGGCCGAAGAAGTACACGATTTAAATAGTACACATAAAAATGCTCATGCGATGATCACACGTGCCATATGTACTTTTGTTTTTCCTGAACAGTTCTGAACTGTACTTACACGTATCCTTCGTGCACTTTTATGCAAAATTTCTACAAACAAATCTTCGACAAATAAATCTGTATTAAATTAAAGAACATAAATTAAAGAACATAAATTGAGCATTCGTACATATTCTTTTGTTCATAAATAAACTAATTACAACTAAAAAACATTGATTTACATACTTGACGGCTTCATTTTCCCAAATAAAGCACGTAATACAAATGCATAAATTTGAAATAACCGTGTGAAAATGGATGCAAGTTTGCGGTAGTTTATAGATCTAGACTTTTTTTAGATTAAGATGTCATTATATGCAAGCGTCGAGTATCTGCGCAGAAGATTACTGCTGATTATTGCGCAGAAGTTTGAATCTCCAGACTCCTGCGTAATAATCTTTTGCGCAGCTTCTTGACGCAAAATGATAAATTATGAGAGGTTATGTTTTGATATACATTCGCATTAATATTCGGACATCATAATAATAAAGAAACTGTTATTTTTGAAATATAATTTTTATAGGATTAAGAAATTTACGGTTTTATAATCATTGGAAATGCTCATTATAGATGTAAAAAACATTTTCATTATTTAACTAATATAATTTTCAATAAAAAAAATATGTAAATAATATATATTAAATAAGTTAATCCTTAATTTTAGAATCGCAAAAATATTCGGACACTTAATATATATATTTACTTAATCCTCGAAAATCAAATTAATTTCTTTACTCGTTTACCGTAAAGTAAGTCATAAAATATGTGACTTATTTCACGTTGAATTGTTAACCTAATTTCCCCAAGATCAACAAGTTAACAGTGAAAATGAGACGTAAAGGCAAAAATAGTTCATTTGATAAACGCCAATTTGTTATTTTTTATTATAAAAAAGGTAAATCATATCGAGAAATCGATAAATTAATAAATTTGAGTAAGAGTACGGTAGCTGATTGTAAAAAGATATATTCATGAAGATCGCATTGAATCAATATCTCAGAAAGAACGTTCAAAATTACTTGATGAAATAAAATTACTTCATGAAATAAAAATTATTAGGAAAATAAAAGTAAATCCAGGATTAAGTGACCTTAGAATTATACGAAGAGACTAGCAAGAATATACATCCTGATACAGTTCATCGAGCATTAAAAGAAAATAATTACAATGGTAGAGTTGCTTGGTAAAAAGCCGTTTATAAATGAAGCGAATCGGAAGAAAAGATTAATTTTCGCTAAGGAATTTATTTCTAAAGAACAAATATGGTGGAATGATATAATATTCGCTGATAAAAGCAAATTTAACATTTTTGAATCTGACGGACGAAAAATGATATGGCGAAAAGCAAACGAAGAATTCAAATTGAAAAATTTGAAGCCAACTATGACACACGGCGATAGAAATTTAATGGTTTGGGATTGTATTTCAAGTAAAGGGGTGAATTAGTTTTCATTCGATGGAATTTTAGATAAAAATATTTAAGTATTCTAAAAGACAATTTAATAAAAAGTGCTAATAATATAAATATACGAGGTAGTTCCAAATTTTATCAAGACAATGATGAAAACATAAATCGCGAATAATGCAAGGATATTTATTATACAACTGTCCAAAAGTATTACATCCTCCACCATAGTCACCAGATTTAAATTCCATAGAAAATTTATGGATTTTATTTTTTTATAGATCATAATATTCGGATTATGCAAGATCAAAAGAAGAACTAAAATTACGATTAAAAGAGGAATGAACACGCATTACACCAGATTATTTAACAAAAATTATTTCTAATATACTTAAATGTTTACAGCATATTATTAAACAAAAAGATTATCCAACAAAGTATTAAAATTATTATCATTTCGTTTATATATATTTATATTATATGTTGTTAAGTGTCCGAATATTTTTGCGATATCAGAATTAAGCAAAATTCTGTCTATAGTTTAATATATTCAAAACTGTATCATATAATGGTAGAAATAAAATTTATATTTCTAATAACTATAATGAATTTTTCAATTTAAAACAAAAGTTGTAAATTTCTTATTCCAACAAAAATTATGTTTAGAAGATAATAATTTTTAAAGTATCATGATATCCGAATATTAATGCGAGTAACTGTACATTACTATCCTAACATATAATGCTTAAAATTTATACTTATTTACATTAAACAGTGTAAACTGATTCCACTATCAATATATCTCGTACATTAAATTCAATTACAATAAAATTATTAAATATATCACTGCGCATGCTCTGATGCTTGATGCTGACGCTGCATGTAAAGGCATCTTTACTTTTTGGATCGTTGTGTCCTCTCTTAGGTTTCTTTCTGTACTATCTACTTGCATCGTGGTATATACATACATACATAACAGTGCGCGTTCGCGAGCAACTTTATGGCGTGCCGGCCGTCGCCACGATCGTCACTCATTAACAGTCGAAATGAAGATGGCCGCCGAGGTGAGGTGGCTTTTCGTTTTCCTCGTGTCCTGCGGTGTATCATTGTGCCGCGGCGAGGCGCCGCATCGGAAATTCGAGTACAAATATTCTTTCAAACCACCGTATCTCGCGCAGAAGGACGGCAGCGTACCTTTCTGGGAATACGGCGGAAGTAAGTACTTTCACACCGCATTAAAGGGACGTATAACCTAAACCGACACCTGTCGCTCTGACTGCAATCTTCCGTATGTTACTCCGGCGGCGCCGATCTGGACGATGCAGCGTGATGACCCGCGATTTTTTCGCATCCTCGAGCGACCGCCACTTTCTCACTTTCGATTTGCTGACGCACTTGCATAATTTCCCGCCGCATTGACTATCTTAAAAGCGATCAAAACACTGATGACGTCGACGTATATGTGTACGCGCTTCTCGCTCGCACATGCCACTGAAATAAAATGACTATAAGGCACGAAATTGCAATAATTTTACAGTCAAATTAGATACATCTAATTAGAGACTTCTGAGAGTTGCTAACATTCGATGATTATTTTTTTTTCTACTAATATAGTTCAGTTGGATGCGAGAATGAAGATTGAAGAGAAAGATAAAATTATATTTAATTAATGATAAAAAAAGTATTATTGAAAAATATGGAGAAAAATTCCTCTTTTATGTAAAGAAATATTTTGGAATAACATTCTAAGAAAATATTTAATAGTAATGCTAAACATTGCTATATTATGTTGATTTTATAATTAAACATATGTTTATTGAAGGTGTCAATCTTAATATTATTTTCTATCTGGTTTCAAATACAATATGTCTAAAGAAATATTTATTAGAAATGTTAAATATCACTACACTGTATTGATTTTAATTTAACATATGTTTTATTTGTCTCTTACAAAGATATAATAGCAATCTTAATAAAGTATTTTCTATTTGGTTTCAAATATCCAATATAAATAATATAACAAATGTAATATAATCATTTTCTTCTAAAAACACATTTATGTATATATTTTAAATATTTAATGAAAATGATAAAAAAAAATATTAAACTCAGTTACTATATAAAGGCATATCCAGAATATTTGAAAATTGTGCAGCATTTATAGAAACTGGAGAAATGAGGTACTGGATGTAGAAAAAAAAGTTAAATGGTCAAAATATTCTTTTCCTTATCTAATTGTCAGTTTGTGTGGAAAAAAGGTGGTAACAATCATTTTTGCATCATACTTGCATAGGAATATTTTAACATATTTTAACATATTTTTAATTAAAATATCTTAAAATGCATCTTCAACAGTTCATTTCTTTAGTTTTGTTATTTTTATCTCTATATTAAATACGATTAATAATAATTTTTTGAAAAAAGTATTTTTTGTAACTTTTGTAATAGTTTAAAAAATTGGCTCTTGTTCATTATTAAATATTTTTTGTAATTTACAATTTTTGGCAATTCTACTGTATACAAGGTTCTTCTTTAAATTTTTCAAAATGAAGATTTTATACGTTTACTGTAATCAGTGTATTGTCAAAAATTAGAGTCACATTAACATTAACATTAACATTAACATTAGGAGTATGCTACTGTATTCTTGTACAATAATGATGGAAATAAAAATACATGCGATAACGAGGATTAAAAAAGATTGCTTTGTATAAAGAAATATCTGATAATAATATTTTAAAGAAGTATTTAATAGTAATGCTAAAAAACATTGCTGTATTATGTTGATTTTAATTACAGACATGTTTAATTTATTTCTTATAAAGATAACAATCTTAATATTATTTTCTATCTGATTTAATATATAATATGTCTAATATAAATATTACACATATATAAATGTAATATAAATGTAATATATTCGTCTTTTCTTCTAAAAACACTTTTATATTTTAAATTGCAGATGCCATTGCTAGTGCAGAAAATGTCAGAGTAGCACCATCACTTAGAAGCCAAAAAGGTTTGTGTGCAAATCTCATATATAAACATACTATTATATTTAAAGCTTTTTAAGGAATAAATTATTAAAAGTAATTTTTATGAGGTTTATGTGTGCAAAATGTAAAATATTGATTTTTCAAGTTATACATTATAAAATGGACGATTTGCAACAATTTTGTAAGAGATTTATAAAATATATTGTTTAGGTGCAATATGGGTGAAACAACCCACAATTTTCGACTGGTGGGAGGTAGAATTAGTATTCCGAATAAGCGGACGTGGAAGGATAGGAGCGGATGGTTTGGCATTCTGGTACACAAGCGATAAGGGATTTTATAATGGCTCCGTTTTCGGCAGCTCAGATCTTTGGACGGGTTTGGGAA